GAGAGTCAGGAACAGGAGGCCGAAGAAGCGCCTTGTCCACGGCCAAGTTTGGCCCCATAATGCCACGAGAAGCAGTCGAGAGGCCTCCTTCTCCTCCTCGAAGACAGCGCGTCGGCTGCGCGGTAGGTCCCGACAGGCTTCTGCCGTTGACCCTGACCGTGCAGGTATCCAGCCCTTCCCGCTTCCATTCTCACACCTTCTCCTCCACTTCCCCGAGCTCTCCTCCTTTTCCTCCTCCACCTCCTCCTCCTCCTCCTCCTCCTCTTCCTCCTCCTCCTCTTCCTCCACCTCCTCTCCCTACTCCTCCCCCTCCTTCACCTCCTCCTCTCATCCAGGATTCGTCGCCGGATTCGCCAGATTTCCCGGTTCTCGCCCGGGCCCCCTTGGGGAAGCTCCAGGAGCGGTTTTTCTGAGGATGTCCCACACGCGAACGCGCCGGCGTGGAATCCCACCAGCCCTTTAGGGCGTAGGTGGTCTAGGGAGTTTCCTCTGCCAACCCCCTTCTTCCCCTTCGGGGAGGGGTTTACCCCTCCCCTTACCCCTCCCCACTGACCTGGACGGGGCCGGTCGCGAGGTGTCAGAGCGTCCAAGATGGCCCAAGACAGCTCCAAGAGCGAACAGGCGAGAAAACACAAAACATTGATTTTACCTAGGTTTTGGAAGGATTTTGGCATCTTGGGGGGGCCCAAGAGGCGACTCGAGGCACTCTGGAGGGGCGGGGCTAATAAGCAACCCCCCCTTCTTTGATAGATCTCCTCCAAGATGGCCCAAAGAGCGCCCCGAAGGCTCCCAAGAGCGCCCCAAGAGCGCCTCAAGAGGGCCCCAAGAGACCCCAAGAGGCCCCCAAGAAGCCTCCAAGACGTTGCCAAGAGACCCCCAAGAGGCCCCAAGAGAGTCCAAGATGACCCAAGACGGCTCCAAGAGCGAAAAGGCGAGAAAGCAACAAACATTGATTTTACCTAGGTTTTGGAAGGATTTTGGCCTCTTGGGGCGCCCAAGAGGCGACTCGAGGCACTCTAGAGGGGCAACGCTAATTGGGGACCCCCTCTTCTCTGATCGATCTCCTGCAAGATGGCCCCAAGAGCGCCCCGAAGGCTCCCAAGAGCGCCCCAAGAGCGCCCCGAGAGCGCCCCAAGAGGCCCCAAGAGGCGCCCAAGAGGCCTCCAAAAGGCTCCCAAGAGACCCCCAAGAGGCCCAAGAGGCTCCCAAGACGGGTCCAAGAGCGAAAAGGCGAGAAAACAAAAACATTGATTTTACCTAGGTTTTGGAAGGATTTTGGCCTCTTGGGGGGGCCCAAGAGGCGACTCGAGGCACTCTAGAGGGGCAGCGCTAATTGGGGACCCCCCCTTCTTTGATAGATCTCCTCCAAGATGGCCCCAAGAGCGCCTCGAAGGCTCCCAAGAGCGCCCCAAGAGCGCCCCAAGAGGGCCCCAAGAGGCCCCAAGAGGCCCCCAAGAGGCCTCCAAGAGGCCCCCAAGAGACCCCCAAGAGGCCACAAGAGGCTCCCCGAGATACGCAAGAGGCCCCCGGGACCGCCAAGAGGCCCCAAGGACGGCCCAAGAGGCCCCCAAGTTCGCAATTGTCCTCCTCCTCCTCCTCCTCCTCCTCCTCCTCCTCCTCCTCCTCCTCCTCTTTTTCTTCCTCCTCCCTCCTCCCCCTCCCCCTCCTCCTCCTCCTCCTCCTCCTCCTCCTCCTCCTCCTCCTTTTCCTCCTTCTCGTCCTCCTCGTCCTCGCAGTCCTCCATCTCCTCCTCCTTCTATTCCTCCTCCTCCTCCTCCTGCTCCTCCTCCTGCTCCTCCTCTTCCTCCTCCTACTCCGACGACGACGGCTCCTCCTACATCCTCCCCCTCTTGGGGCATATGGCGGCTCACCCCGCCCTTTGTTCTTCTGCATGCTCCCCCGCTTCCCTCATAACCTCCACTCCCCTGGGACTCATTTCTGGACGGGCTGGTGGGGATACGCGAAGCGTCTAGAATTCGCCCTGGGATTCGCTGGATTTCCGCGAGCGGTTTTTCTGAGGATGTCCCATGCGAGGGCGCCAGTTTGGAATTCTTCGCCGGATTCGCCGGATACGCCGGATGTCGCCGGTTTCGCCGGATTTCTCGGATCTCGCCTGAAACGGAACGAAGGGGCCCGCGAGGGCTTCCTTGGGGAGGCTCCTGGGGCGGTTTTACTGAGGATGTCCCACGCGCGAAGACGCCGTTTTGGAATTCGTCGCGGATTCGCCGGGCCTGGTTTCGCCAGATTCGCCGGATTTCCTGGGTCTCAGGGCCTCCTTGGAGGCTCTGGGGGCTGTTTTTGAAGATGTCCTTCGCGACGGCGCCGGTTTGGAATTTTTCGCCGGATTCGCCAGATTCGATGATTTCCCTGATCTCGCATGAAACAGAACAGGGGGGCCTCTGAGGGCCTACTCGGGGAGGCTCCTGGGGCGGTTTTTCTGGGAACGTCCCACGCGAGGGCGCCGGTTTGCAATTCGTCCCCGGACTCGCCGGATTTCGCCAGATTCACCTGATTTCCTGGATATCGCCTCAAACGGAACAACGGGCCTCTGAGGGCCTCCCTGGGGAGGCTCCGGGGCCGGATTTCCTGCGGATGTCCCACGCGAGGGAGCCGGTTTGGAATTCGCCGCCGCATTCGCTGGATCCGCCGGATTTCGCTGGTTTCGCCGGATTTCCGGACCTCGCCTGAAAGGAAACAGGGCGGCCTCTGAGGGCTTCCTTGGGGAGGCTCTGATGTGCCACGCGCGAGGACGCCGTTTTGGAATTCGTCGCAAATTCGCCAGATTCGCCTGATTTCGCCAGATTCGCTGGATTTCCCGGGTCTGAGGGCCTCCTTTGAGGCTCTGGGGGCTGTTTTTTAAGATGGTCTGCGAGTCCCGCGTGGGCGCCGGTTTGGAACTAGTTCGATGGATTCGCCAAGATCGCCGATGTCCAAATGGTTTTTCTGAGCATGTCCCGCGCGAGGGTGCCGATTTGGAATTCGTCCCAAGATTTGTTCGATTCGCCGGATTTCTCTGGATTCGCTGCATTTCCTGAAACGGACAGGAGGGCCTCTGAGGGCCTCCTTGGGATGGCTCCGGGGGCGGTTGTTCTGAGGACGTCCCGCGCGAAGGCGCCCGTGTGGAATTCGTCGCCGGATTCGCCGGATTTCGCCAGATTTCCCGGATCGCCCGAACGGAACAAGGGGGCCTCTGAGGGCCTCCTCGGGGGGACTCCGAGCCCAGATATCCGGCTGCTCCAATTTTTGGGGTGCGTGGACCCAGGAGGCCCGCGCCACTTCCCGGGGCCGGTTTTTCGTCCTGCACAAACCAGCTCGCCCCCCCCACCCAAGGGCCACGCACGCGCCAAATTTTCGGCGAAACACGACGGCGTCGCCAACGCCGCCGCCGCCAGGCGCGCGTGGGCCAGCGGGTCGCGCGTTCGACCGCCCTCGGCCCCACGCACTGCGCCCCGCGCGGCGGCGCCAGACAAGCAAGCCCCAGGGCGGGCAGGGTGGGAGAAACAACGACGCCGCCCACCGCCAGGGCCCATCCCCTGGGCGGCGGCAGCCGCTGAGAACCCTTCCCGCGCGAGAAGCCCCTTGGCGGGGGGGTTTGACCGCTCCCCCGCGCAGCGCAGCCATGACGCGCGGCGCCGCGCTGCGCCGCGCCAGCGTCCGCGCAACAACATCGCCCCCCGCTTGTGCCCTGCAACAACGCAAGGGCCGCGTCGTCGACGCAAACAGCTCGGCCCCCCCCAAGGGTCATGCACGCGCCAAACTTTCGGCAAAACACGACGGCGCCGCCAACGCCGCCGCATAAGAGCCCAAAGATAGCAACCCCAATCCCAACGGCCTCGTAGGTCGTAGTCGGGTGTAGTCGGTGGGGACTTATGTTGTGTCGTCGTAGGTCTGCGTGGGGTCGGAGGCGGCAATATGTCGTATCGCATGTTTACATGCAGTATGTCTTCGAAGAAATTTCAAAATGGACTAGGTGGGTGGACTTCAGGAGTGTAATAGCGCAGGGATGTAAGATGTGTATGGGAGACCTCCGCTTGGACAGAGGTATCGTTGCAAGTTTCCTTGCGGTACTGCGTAGTTATGCACATTCCTCAGCACAATCCAACTGCACCCTGATGTTCCACCATATCTGTAGTCCACCAAATAGTGCCGTGGATGGTGAGGAGTAGAGCTAGAGCTGACCACCATAGGCCAGCTCCGCTACCAAGTTTGAAGGGGGCTGGAAGGCCCAGCCAGCAGCTTCGCCTCAGGCGAAGCTGAGCTCCAGCTCCGTTGTATCGTAGTAACGATAGTCCCAGTACGAGAGGAGATGCCATCTCAAGCAATAGGAAGATCAATTTGGTCTCGATAGCGATTGTGTGCCTCGCAATGAGGCACAGTCAAATTTGGGCGGCCGGCCGCTTGAGCCGACGCGGCCGCGGGCGCACGCTCGCTTCCACTCCTTACGTCCCTCAGCTCGCTTTAGAGTAACCCCACACCCACGCCTCTTGGCATAGGACTGGAGCTCCTGAGGACCATGCTCGGCGGGGCATTGTTTGGCTCTATCGGCTCATCCCCCAAGATACCCTCAGAGAATCAGAAGGACCAAAATGCTCCCCCCGATCGAATTCCTGAGGACATGCTCGGGGCGTGTTTTGTGGCTCCACTGGCTACCCCAAGACTCTCAGAGAACCCCCAAGACATCCTCAGAGAACTGGAAAGCCCACACAAAATTGCCCCCCGAGCATGGTCCTCGAAATCCAGCCCCACGCCTGTTGGCATATGGCCGGAATTCCTGAAGACGATTCTCGAGGGGGGAGGCATTTTTTTACTCTGAGGGCTTTCCCCCAAGAGACCCTCGGACAAAATTAATGGCCCCCCAACAAATGCCTCCCCGATCGTGGTCCTCGACACTCCAACTCCACGCCTGTCGGCATGGGACCGGAAAGGAAGAATTTTTTAGCTCTACCTGATCATCCCCCAAGATACCCTCAGAGCATCGTAGCGACCCAAAAGACATGTCCCCCGAACAAGGCCCTTGAAACTCCACTCCCGCGCCTGTTGACATAGGGCTGCAATTCCTGAGCACCATGCTGGGCGATGGCATTTTTTGGCTCTACGGGCTATCCCCCAAGATACTCTCAGAGAGTCGGCAGCACCCAACAAAAAGAAGCAAAAAGATTCGCAAGGCCCTCGAAATCCAAGCCCACGCCTCTTGGCACAGGGCTGGATCTCCCGAAAATCGTGCTCGGGGGGGAATTGTTTGGCTCCACTGGCTATCCCCAAGAATACTCTCAGATAACCGAAAGGACCAACAAAAATACTCCCCTCGAGCATGGTAACCGCCGGTCAACGCTCCAAACGAGCGCTGATCTAGCAAGCGTATGCAAGCAGAGCCAGGGCGCCAACCACGCCCCGCCCCGCTCGCGCGCCAAACGCGCTGCAAGCGACGGCCTCGGCACAGCTCCTCGAGCAGCCCACTGCGGCGATCTGTGCTGCACGCTCCACAGCGCTTCGGCAAGACCCGACGGCCGGCCAGGATCGCCCGCGGCCTCAGTCCCAGGACGCCTCGGCGAACAGCGCGCTCGGCTCCTCGATGACGATGCCCTCGGCCCAGGGCCCCCCCGCGGTCGGGCACCTGCACACCAGGCTGGAGCTCGAGCCCCTGCTGCCGATGAGGGTGGCAGCCGCCTCGTTGTCGCGCGCGCCCGCGCCCTCTGCGGCGAGCTTCCGCTTCTGCTTCACCTCCTGCCACCGCTGCTTCCACAAGGGCCTGTAGTAGTAGTCGTTGTCCTCCTGGCTCTCGACGCTGTACTTCTCCGTCAGCCGGTGGTGCTGGCACTTGCCCGAGACGTACTCCAGACTCGCTGGGTGCGCGTCGAAGCCGAGAAGGCCGCCCACGTCTACCCTGCCGAGCGCGGACACGCTCTTGACCGCCAAGTTCAGGTGCTCCTGCTCGGGCAAGTCCTGGCGGATCACGATCTTGGCAGGCGACGGGGCATTGCGGTGCTGGACGCTCAGCGTAAACATCCCGGCCACAGTGGGCGCGCCTGCCACTGTCTCCTTCTTGGGGAACCACTGGCTCTTGGACAGCGACACGTGGAAGTTGCTGTACGGCGCAGACAGCACCAGGTCGGTGCCGTCGGCCAGGAAGGCCTCCATGCTCTGCCAGGGTGCCGCTCTGCCCCCAGGGCTCAGGATGCGGGCCCCCAGGTGCGCGCCCTCGTGGCTGGGGTGGGCCTGGAGGTAGGAGCGCACCTGGACGGACACGTTGCCCAGCCAAGAGCCAGAGAGCTCGACCCGTGTGATGTACGTGGTGCACGGCTTCTTGAATTCTGGCTGGACCGTGGCCAACAGCTGGAGCTCGGCGTCCTTTGCGGAGTCCTGCGGGAGCCGCAGCAGCACGAAGTCCCCGCCGTGGTTGATGTCGAAGTGCTCGCCCTGCAGGTTGACCAGGTGCGGGTCGCCCTTGGCACCCACGGTCGGAGCCGGGGTCGGGTGGATCGGGTACGGGCCAGTCGGGATGCACGTGGCTGTGCAGTTGTCGGAGCCGACGGAACACATCGTTGTCGTGTCGCAGGTCGCCAAGTTGCACCCGCACTTTCCGTCAGAGTTGTGCTTGCGGCTGAGCTCCGTCCCGTCCCTCGTCGTGCACGAGACAATGATGTCAGAGTTCTTCGCGTAGCTGTTCTGGGTTGGCGACTTGAGGGTAATCAAATTGCCAGTTACGCTCTCAACGCACACCGTCTCGACGGACTGGTTGCACTCCGTCTCGACGGACACGTTGCGGATGTCGATGCAATCGTCGGGCTGCACATCTGGCTCATTAACAGGGAAATTCCAAGAATTTTCGGGGACGTCAGATTCCGCAGTGTTTGTACTAGGGACGCAGTCGTCGTAGTCACCAGCATCGAGATATCCTGGCTCGCAGTCGGTGCATTCGAGCGAGCGTCGCCGACGCGTCGCGCCAGTAGTGCACTGGATGCAGGCCACCGGGTTCCCGTCGAGGTAGTACCCCGCCCCGCACTCCGGCGCATCTGGCCTTACCTCCACGGGGCAGACGCTCCCATTCGTCATGTCGAAGATGAGCGGCCACTCGACGGAAAGGTTGACGCAGCCGTCCCCGTCCAAGTCCCAGGTCGGGCTGCTGCAATTCGTCAGCGGCGCCTGGAGAGCACACTCACCCGCTGAGAGGCACTCGTCGGAATCCCGGTCGTAGGCCTCGAAGCAGGCGTCCTTCAGGCAATCGCAGGACACCCCAGGCGACGGCGTCGGGGACGGCGTCGGGGACGGCGTCGGCGCCAGCGTCGGCGCCAGCGTCGGGGGCGCCGTGGTCTGGGGCCTCTGCCGCTCGGCGCTCTCGGCCGCCGAGCTGATCTGGATGAGGCAGGAGTCGGGGCTGGGCAAGAGCTCCCCCCCCGACTGCAGGAAGACCGACAGGAGCACCGTGCATGCAATCATGGTCTGCGTATGGAAACGTGCGGTGACAGACGCGGCGAAGCCCCCGAGCCGAGCGCGCTTACGCCAAAGTGGTTACGGGGGCCGACTCGACGCTCCTTATGGGGCCGTCTTGGGACGTTTGGGGGGCCTCTTGGGCCGTCCTGGGAGATATGGGGGGCCTCTCGGTCCGTCGTGAACGCGATGCGCCCCGAACAAAAAAAAACAATGCGCTAAGCGATTACGTTGTCCTGCGGGGATCAAGCGATTTAGGCCTCCAGGGGCCCTCCGCGGAAGCCTCTTGGAACAGTCTTGGGGCTTCTTGGGGGTCTCTCGGGCGTCTTGAGGTCATCTTGGGCCGCGATGGAGGCGTCAGGGGCCGTCGGGAAAACATCTTCAGCGGTCCCGGAGCCATCTCACGCGGGCGGTCCGGGAGCGCTGGTGGCCTATGGTGGCCCCTGGCTCTCCCATGGGGGAATGGGCCCGGGCACCCTCGTGGGCCTGGACCCCCCCATTCGGGGATGGACAGAACCCCCTTGAGCAAAACGTGGTTTAGTGAAAACGACCTCGGGCCCAAACCTGGCGGGCGCAAGCCTGGAAAACGACGGCCGCGGCGCCATCTCGCGAACCGAAAACGGACCATTCACTAATCGACGTGTCAGGGTGGGGGTTCTGTCCACCCTTGACCCATATAGAGGGCGATTCTTGCTTATCGGGGAAGCCGTCTTAAGGCTCCTCTTGGAGCGGTCTTTAAACGTCGGTTCCCAGATTCGGGGGGGCTTCCTCTGGGGAAAGAACGACCCACCTTTGTCACCAGGCAGCTCTCCTTGTGGGTTCCTGGTGCCCCAGTGAAGTCTTACACCAACTGGAAAGAAGAAGATTGACGCGATCCAATAAGTTACGGTTTCGTTTGTCAACTAATTCAACACACGCTGTGGCTTGTGGAATGTAAACCACGGAAGTCCCACGAGCATTCCAGAGATCCCGTCGTCGTCGTCGTTGCCTGCAACCTCGAACGCCCACTCGGGCACCACCCCTTGACCGCGCGCGCGGCCAGAAGAAGCCCCTTCTGGGGGCCCCCTTGGGCCGCCTTGAGCGTCTCATGGGCCCTCTCGGGCCGGTTCGGGGCCCACTTGGGTGCCCCTTGGGCGCCGCGCCCATTTCAGCGCACCCTTCGCAGGGCTCGTGGCCCCATAAAGAGCGCCGCCGCAGAAGATATCTTAACCTGCGGCGCGCAGAACTGCACATGGTTGGGTCCTTCGCCAGGCAAATTGTTTGCTAGCGCGCAGGATTCCCGGAAACTGGTGTTTCGCTTGGGTTTTTTCAGGACCGTCCTACGGTGTTGGGTCCTCGTTTTGAAGAGACGGCCCCCGCGTTCCTTCCTTCCTCCCCCCCCTCCTCCCTCTTCCGATCATCTTCGTCGTCGCCATTACTAGCTGGCCGTTCCGCGGTTGATCGGGGGGTTCTGCACATGGAAGCAAGGGCGCGCGCGTCTCGGCGAGAGGAACGCGATCGAGATGGCAACGAGCGTTAGGATCCGGAGGGCGAGGCTCGCAAGGGGGAGGCTCAGGAGAGCGAGGCTCGCGCGGGCAAGGATCAGGCGAGCGCGGAGCAGAGGGGCGAGGACGTGGAGGGGGAGGGCGAGGGCCAGGAGAGCGAGGATGGCGAGAATGAGAAACAGGAGGGCGAGGATCGGGCGGGCGCGGAGCAGGAGAGGGGCACCAGCAGAGGAGAGCGAGGATCAGCCGAGTGAGGGCCACGAGAAGAGGGAGGATCAGGAGAATGAGAAAGGAGGGCGAGAAGCAGGATCGTGAAGCAGGAGGGCGAGGGTGATAAGAGCGAGAACCAGGAGAGTCAGGAACAGGAGGCCGAAGAAGCGCCTTGTCCACGGCCAAGTTTGGCCCCATAATGCCACGAGAAGCAGTCGAGAGGCCTCCTTCTCCTCCTCGAAGACAGCGCGTCGGCTGCGCGGTAGGTCCCGACAGGCTTCTGCCGTTGACCCTGACCGTGCAGGTATCCAGCCCTTCCCGCTTCCATTCTCACACCTTCTCCTCCACTTCCCCGAGCTCTCCTCCTTTTCCTCCTCCACCTCCTCCTCCTCCTCCTCCTCCTCTTCCTCCTCCTCCTCTTCCTCCACCTCCTCTCCCTACTCCTCCCCCTCCTTCACCTCCTCCTCTCATCCAGGATTCGTCGCCGGATTCGCCAGATTTCCCGGTTCTCGCCCGGGCCCCCTTGGGGAAGCTCCAGGAGCGGTTTTTCTGAGGATGTCCCACACGCGAACGCGCCGGCGCGGAATTCGCCCTGGGATTCGCTGGATTTCCGCGGGCGGTTTTTCTGAGGATGTCCCATGCGAGGGCGCCGGTGTGGAATTCTTCGCCGGATTCGCCAGATACGCCGGATGTCGCCGGTTTCGCCGGATTTCTCGGATCTCGCCTGAAACGGAACGAAGGGGCCCGCGAGGGCTTCCTTGGGGAGGCTCCTGGGGCGGTTTTACTGAGGATGTCCCACGCGCGAGGACGCCGTTTTGGAATTCGTTGCGGATTCGCCGGGCCTGGTTTCGCCAGATTCGCCGGATTTCCCGGGTCTCAAGGCCTCCTTGGAGGCTCTGGGGGCTGTTTTTGAAGATGTCCTTCGCGAGGGCGCCGGTTTGGAATTCTTCGCTGGATTCGCCAGATTCGATGATTTCCCTGATCTCGCATGAAACAAAACAGGGGGGCCTCTGAGGGCCTACTCGGGGAGGTTCCTGGGGCGGTTTTTCTGAGAACGTCCCACGCGAGGGCGCCGGTTTGCAATTCGTCCCCGGACTCGCCGGATTTCGCCAGATTCACCTGATTTCCTGGATATCGCCTCAAACAGAACAACGAGCCTCTGAGGGCCTCCCTGGGGAGGCTCCGGGGCCGGATTTCCTGCGGATGTCCCACGCGAGGGAGCCGGTTTGGAATTCGCCGCCGCATTCGCTGGATTCGCCGGATTTCGCTGGTTTCGCCGGATTTCCGGACCTCGCCTGAAAGGGAACAGGGCGGCCTCTGAGGGCTTCCTTGGGGAGGCTCTGATGTCCCACGCGCGAGGACGCCGTTTTGGAATTCATCGCAGATTCGCCAGATTCGCCTGATTTCGCCGGATTCGCTGGATTTCCCGGGTCTGAAGGACTCCTTTGAGGCTCTGGGGGCTGTTTTTGAAGATGGTCTGCGAGTCCCGCGAGGGCGCCGGTTTGGAACTAGTTCGATGGATTCGCCAAGATCGCCGATGTCCAAATGGTTTTTCTGAGCATGTCCCGCGCGAGGGCGCCGATTTGGAATTCGTCCCAAGATTTGTTCGATTCGCCAGATTTCTTTGGATTCGCTGCATTTCCTGAAACGACAGGAGGGCCTCTGAGGGCATCCTTGGGGTGGCTCCGGGGGCGGTTGTTCTGAGGACGTCCCGCGCGAGGGCGCCCGCGTGGAATTCGTCGCCGGATTCGCCGGATTTCGCCAGATTTCCCGGATCGCCCGAACGGAACAAGGGGGCCTCTGAGGGCCTCCTCGGGGGGACTCCGAGCCCAGATATCCGGCTGCTCCAATTTTTGGGGCGCGTGGACCCAGGAAGCCCGCGCCACCTCCCGGGGCCGGTTTTTCGTCCTGCACAAACCAGCTCGCCCCCCCCCCCCCCCCCAAGGGCCACGCACGCGCCAAATTTTCAGCGAAACACGACGGCGTCGCCAACGCCGCCGCCGCCAGGCGCGCGTGGGCCAGCGGGTCGCGCGTTCGACCGCCCTCGGCCCCACGCACTGCGCCCCGCGCGGCGGCGCCAGGCAAGCAAGCCCCAGGGCGGGCAGGGTGGGAGAAATAACGACGCCGCCCACCGCTAGGGCCCATCCCCTGGGCGGCGGCCGCCGCTGAGAACCCTTCCCGCGCGAGAAGCCCCTGGGCGGGGGGGCTCGAGCCGCTCCCCCGCGCAGCGCAGCCATGACGCGCGGCGCCGCGCTGCGCCGCGCCGGCGTCCGCGCAACAACATCGCCCCCCGCTTGTGCCCCGCAACAACGCAAGGGCCGCGTCGTCGACGCAAACAGCTCGGCCCCCCCCCACGGGTCATGCACGTGCCAAACTTTCGGCAAAACACGACGGCGCCGCCAACGCCGCCGCCGCCAAGCGCGCGTCGGCCAGCGGGTCGCGCGCTCGACCGCGCTCGGCCCCAATGCTCGCGTGACCCGCGGGCCCGCGCGGCGGCAGGCGCATCTCGCGGCCCCGATCGCGCCGCCCGACGCCCCGCGAAAAACGCGGCGCTTGCGCGGGCACGGCGCGCGCGCGCCCCTCGCCGCACCTGGGCGGCATGTCCTTGCCCGCTGCCACCCGGCGCAGACCCGACCGCTACGAGGCACTGTGGTCGAGGTAAGCGCGGAAAGCCTTGCTCGACCAACCAGCCGACCAGAGGGTCTGGCCGGCGGCGCCCCGGCACCGCCTGACCAACTCAGCGCGCCCCCGGCGGAAAGACCGGCTGTCATACAAGCAGCGGTCGCGGGCGCCCAATGCCAGCAGTTCGCGGCGCAGCGCGCGCATGTTCACGTCTGGCCTAATGCCCGCGAACGGGCCTGCCCCAATCTCGGCGGCTTCGAATGGGCCATATCGCGTGGAGCGCGCACGTCCGAGGGGGCCTGTCACACCAACATTTCCGCTCGGATACCGAGGCGCACTCTTTATTCTTGCGCCAAAGGAAGAACAACACAACAGAGCCACCGTCTTTGCGCAACGCGATCCTGGTCGGTTCCGGCGCCGGGTCCCTGACTCAGCTCAGCCCCTCGGACGGGAGCCGCAGTCCGAAAGCGAAACAGACGGTCCACGAGTCTCAGCAAGTCCACCGGGGCTGCCCCCTGCCCAGCAGGCCGCGCATCGTCTCCAGGGATGCGTGCGGGCGCGGCTTGTAGATGCCCAGGCAACGCTTAGACACCGCGACCTTTGCCATGTCCAGAAGGGGAGAATCGAACGCAGACGCGTTCAGGCCTAGCACGACGCAGGCCTTGTGTAAGGAACCCGACGTAATTCGTGAACACGCGCCGGCTGTAGAAGGTACGAGCACAAGCGCAAAGTGACTCCGCAGTCGGCGAGAACTCGTCTCCCCGCCGACCCAACGACTTCTGCGAAAACTTCCACCACCGACGGATT